GCTGTTAGAGAAGTGATTGAAGAAAAATTAGATTTTAAACTTTACTAGTTTATAAAATATATTTGTAAAGTACACTTTTCCTCACCAAATAAACTATAATCAAGTATTACAACAATAGTTGTTTTTATAAAACAAATTTTAAAACTTTAGGCCAAAAATTGATTTTTTTTTTAGATAGCCACCATTTTGTCATTTTTTTCAATTTTTCTGATTGTACATACTTGCGGATAAGAATTTTAAACATAAAAATATTAATTTTATTTCAAATTATCGAAAATCGCGAAGAATTTCTTTTGAGTTAGGCCATGTCATCGCTGCACGAGTGATTTAAATATTTTAAATTATTTTTTATTTAATATAATCAATTTTGTAAAAAGATTTGAAATGTTGTGAAAAATTACAAAAATATACAAAAAAATGATTTATATCTTTTTTATTTTGCCAGAAAAATTGCTTTTTTTCTGGATAAACTAGAGTGCACTCTTAAATATTAAGATTTGGATTATCTAAATAATTCAATGTTATTTAAATAATATATAATGATACAATAGATAATAATTATTCAACAAATAGATAATAGAGACTTCCATCGACAGACTGGGTCTTCGTGTCGAACAATTTTTTTACTTTTCTAAATTTCAAGACAATACATTTATTTATCGCGAATTACGTGTCGCTAATTTTTAACGATCTTGCAACGTAGTCTACTCAAAGCTAAATCTAAATTTTATCTCTTCCCTATTAAATCGATTCCCTATTAAATCAATTTGAAATCGATTAATCCCTGATTATTGGAAATTATTTTTATTATAAAATTTTATTATAAAAAATATCTCAGTGGTCGAATGGATAAGACACTCGCGCGTTAAACGAGCGATCCAGGTTCGATTCCTAGCTAAGGTAATATTTTTCGCAATAAAAATAATTTCCAATAATCGGAAATAGTTCTAGTTTATAATAGTTCTAATTTAGTTCTAGTTTATAATATCTGTTTGACAAAATGTTACAAACGAAACCAAAGACACTCACCACAGCAGAGTAGTACAAACCACTGCATTGCTTTCGGTAAACATCGAAAAGTGTTCAATGTTCTTCTTTTTCAAATTATATCAATATCAAATTTTCAATATTAATTTCAACGCGGGTAAACTTGTTAGCATACGTTGCGGTATATACGATTGTAAGAAATTGTGGTTCGATGATGAGACAAGCGACTAAACTGGCTACAGTAACGGCTCGTACTTTCTTATTTCTTATGACAGAGCTGGTGGGAGTACAAAGTGAAAGAGAACGATGACCTCAATAAAAGGTAACTACATCTAATAATTTTAAACAAATACTTTCTTAATAGGAAATTGACAGTTAAAATATTTACAATCGCATATATTTTGTGTTGCATAATTTATAAAATTTTTATATTTTATAAAAAGACTAATTTGTAAAGTATTGAATTTGTTTATATTAAAAGAATAAGATTTTAAATAATTGAAAAAATAATTGATAAACAAATTTTATGCAACAATTTTATAGCTACAATTACAATCTTTAAGTTTTTCAATATCTTGATGTAATGTCCATTCTATTTTTAAATTTGATATAATTGTTTTTGGTATTTTTTACTTTATTATATATCTCTTACTTTAAAAATATTCAACCCGATAATATATTCTGCTATTCTTGTCTATATGTCTATCTCACTTTAGACGCAGAAAATACTAATGGAGGATTCACAATGCGAGGAATTTTAAAACCCATTCCATACAAAAAAATGTAAGCTGTAAAAGGGAGCGTTTCGTTTGACCACGTTGCAATTGAACACAGTCATTTACAGCGATCATTGCGTAGAGATTTTTTACTGGATCAACCAATCAAATAATTTTATTTTAAATTGGTCAATCGAGCGCCACTACTTCCAAGCCTATGGCTGTCACTGGGTGCTTTCCATTTAGTGACACAAGTCGATATAAGTATCATTTTGTCCTTGTTAATCATTGAAAGCCAAGAAAGATAGAACAATACTTGTGTCGACTTGTGTCACTAAATGGAAAGCACTCACTTTTGCATAGTTCAGTCCTCACCATCACAAGGCTTGCTCATATATACATATGAATGGAATGAACAAACTTTCTGATTAGATCTAGGGTACGGTTAAAGTCTTACTACAAATGCTTTAAAAAGCATTTTTTGATTGATGCATTAGTAAAATTCTTTGTTTTGATTGGACAATCAAACGCTTCGAAGCGTTTGTAGTGTTACATTGGTCTAATTTCCGATGTCTTAATTCGCTCCTAATATGACGTAAATTAGATTTAAATCAATGGAAACGCGACAAATTGCGCTCATTTCAATCCCGCTTTGATCCACAAATCTTTACTTCCGATGGAAACAGCATATTAAATTTAATCCACACCAAAGTAGAATCGAATTGAAGATTTTGATGGAAATTAGATCATTGTCTAACTTATTTTTGATTAATTCCTCGAGCTAGATACATAGAATAAAAATGATTAATTAATTACAATTAACTAAACTCACAAACCTTTTCAATTGCATTTCAAAACTCTTCATACAAAATATAAACGATTTAAAATAATAATTTTTTGAACTAGCACTACTTCTCGGATCAAGTATAGAATCGAATTGAAGACTTCGGTAGAAAACCATTGACTGTAGCCTTAATCCTTTCCAGAAGGTAAATACCAGGATATAATCCTACAAATGCTTTGAAGCATTTTTTGATTGGTCAATTCATAAAATTCTTCGTTTTGATTGGTTAATCAAACGCTTTGAAATTTTTGTAGTTCTAAGTGGACCATAGCCTCGATCTACAATAGATGATTTACCGCTTTAAGCGGTGTCTACAATAAGACTTTAAAGCGTCTATAAGTGTCGGTCCACAATAGGTGATTTAAGCTTTAAGAAATAAGAAATTGACCAATTATAATCGAATATGAAAAGAATAATCGACTATGATTGGTCAATTTCTTACGACTTAAAGATTAAATACTTATTGTGGACTGACATTAATAAGACTTTAAGATGTAAGACTTAAGAAATTAGTTAATCACAATCAATTATTCTTCTATAAATCGATTATGATTGACAAATTTCTTAAGTCTTACGCCTTAAAATCTTATTGTAGACACCGCTTAGACGTAAGACTTAAAAAATTGGCCAACCATAATCAATTATTCTTCTATAAATCGATTATGATTGACCAATTTCTTAAGTCTTATGTCTTAAAGTCGCATTGTAGACTCCATCGATCCACAATAGATGATTTAAGCTTTAAGAAGAAATTGACTAATCATAATCGAATATGAAAAGAATAATCGCTTATGATAGGTTTCTTACGGCTTAAAGATTAAATACCTATGTGTCGGTCCACAATAGGTGATTTAAGCTTTAAGAAGTAAGAAATTGACCAATTATAATCGAATATGAAAAGAATAATCGACTATGATTGGTCAATTTCTTACGACTTAAAGATTAAATACTTATTGTGGACCGACACTTATGTGGTCTATGCATGCAACGGAACGCACTCGTTGTAAAGGCCAGTGCACGTGAAAAAATTTTAGTGGTAATCATAAGGTCATAAGGTAAGCGAATTGGCCAACTACAATCGATTATTTTTAGATTGTAAGGAGAATAATTGATTTTGATTGGTCAATTTGAACTTATGACCTTACGATTACGATTAAAATTTTTTCATGTGCAATGGCCTTAAATATGGGCAATCGGGCGCCATCTCAGTTGAATACATGTTGAACGCACTAATAATACGTTAAAGATAGAAGTATCACACATGATTTCGGAGTTCACAAATGTTATTAAAAGATTAATAATTGAGGGAATGAATGTATTTCAATTTATATTTTATATTGTAATTATTTTCAATGATTAAAAGATTAGATTAAAGAATTAATCGGAATATAGCTCTCGTAAATCAATTCCGAAATCCTTAAAAATGGTTGGATATTGTTATGTGTGCAAAATAGGAATAAAAGCAAAGGATTATTTATCCATTCATCGGTAAGCGTATAAATATAATATACATGTAAATAAAAAGAAAAGGATATTATGAAAAGAATTATAAAGACAATATATGTAAAGTTATATATATATGTGTGTGTGTGTGTGTGTGTGTGTGTGTGTGTGTGTGTGTGTGGTATGATGCATACAAATATATGAAATGCAAGTTATACAAAAAATTTTAGTTTAAAATTAAATATGAAATTAGATGAAAAAAATATTTTTTTATTGTGAAAACTCAATTTATATCTATTTTTAAGATTACCAAAAGACAAACTTGTTAGAGAAAAATGGTTTCAATTTATTGGTCATAAAGCTAGTACAAACAGTGGAATTTGTAGTGGACATTTCAAGCAATCTGATTTCATTTATAAAATATATGGAGGTGCTGTTCGAAGATATCTTAAACCAGGAGCTTATCCATCTATAGAATGTGATTCCCAAAATACTAAGTAACATCATAAAATATGTAACATTTAAAAAAACGACCTTTATATATAGTATATTACATGTATTAATATTTATTTACTTTAGACAAGATGTTAAAATCAATAGTAACAGTGAAAATAGTAATGATTGGATATTACAAGAAGACAATGATATATATGAAAGCAAATCAGATACAGAGAATTTAATTGATATTCCATTGGAATGGTTGGTTCATATACAATTAATCAGTTTACAAATTTTTAAGATTTAATTTCAAATAATGGATTGTGAGTCATAGAATAATTTGATAAAGTTTTTTTATCGTAGTTTTAAACAGGCTACAGTTTTAGATGATCCCTTAGCTATTACAAATTTTGATGCTAATTTTGAAACAAATATACCATTAGGAGATGAAACACAAGAATGTATAAACATAGATAAAACAAAAATAAACACAGAAAGTTTAAGGCATGCGGATATTCAATTAAAAAGGTTAGTTATATATAATTCATATATATATATATA